CCCCAAAACCCCAAAACCCCAAAACCCCATAGTTTCAATTAATTCTAGAAATTTTTTCTTAGATAAAATATTTTTAAATATACTTGATAGTCATTCAATAACAAAAGCTAATTAATTTTATTTGCCAATAGCCAAAATCCGAATAAATAGTATCAATATCTCCTAGGTACAAAAGTGCCACTGTTCTGATAGTTTTAGAATGTATTCGTTTGGCTGTAATCATACTCCTGCTATTTATAATCTTCCTAGTATTAAATAGGTTATTCCATTTGCTGTTGCTAAAACTGATTATACTGATTATAGTCAGGGACAAAAGCCTTCTTCTAAGGAATAAATGGAGTACTTGACTAGCCATACATAGGTTGCTACTGGGGCTGAAATTAATCATATTGATAAATTGGTGTCTATTGGACAGGGTATTACTATTGAATGCCAGTCTGAGGAATGAATTCTCCACCGATAGTTATAGGGTCATAATTCTGTGTGTATTATTAGGATTAGGTATAGTCTTACTAATATCCATATTCATCAGTTTGGTTGTAATCCCATTAATCATACTATTCTGGAGGAACCATTTACTAATAGTCTTGTTGAAACTGTGGTTAATAGTTAAAGGCATTAGCATCTGCTTATTAGAAAGAAGTATTGGGTTGGAACTCTGTAAATGTTGTTTAATTAAATTAGGGAGCGAACGGCTGAGAAGTCTTTTTTGTTGGTTTAAACTCTTGAGCCTCCATAATCTTCTTCACATCAACTTCTACCTTTGCAGGTTGAAACTCTTATTCTGACTGCTTTTGTTCATTATTTAAAGGAGTGTTCGTTTTAATCTCTTTCGAGTTTCTTTTACTCATAGCTGGTTCACTGACGTCTGAGTTTCTCTAAGAAGATTTTTTAGGAGAGTTATTCTTAGAGTTGGTTTGCTTTTCTTGACTCTCAAACAAAATAGAATACTCAGTTTTCTCTAATTTTACTTATGCTTTTGGCGGCTCATAAAATTATCTGTAGTAATCATAGTCTTTCCTGGGTCCTTAATATCCTCCTCTGCTCTAGCTGCCAATAATGCGAAACATCTCTACTTTCTTAAATGGACTCTTAGTAAAAATATCATAAGTTTCATTCTGCTTGATGAGTCTCACCAAATCATTCCAATGCTTATGTTCTTGCTAGCATCTAGTAGATCTGCAGTCACTGTTCAAGAAGCCAAAGCAGTACCTCTGCATCCAGGCTGGATGATATCTGATGCACATCTAATCCTTGCACCATTTTGAACTTGGACAGATGTCTCTTATCCTAGCACCTTCTAATGTTTGAATCTCAACATCTTCATTTGTTGCTAATGCTAATGATTTCACTTTGCTTTTCAACTGATCGATATCTTCATTAAATTCATCAGAAATAGTTTTTACCAACTACTTCTCTTATTTATCCTTAGATGCCTTTTATTCGCTAGAGTTTTATGATCCTTTATCTGATGATGACACAACTTTAGAGTCTTCCTTTTTCTCAGTTTAATTGCTAATATTTTATGACTTCTAGCTACTTTAGACTTGAGTTACTGTACTGCTGACTGCACTATTACTATTGCTATTACTTACAAAATCCTTCTACTTGCTATTCTTCACATCATAGTTACTATTAGTACTTTTGGGTGGCAAATTTCCAGGAATGTATTTGCTGCCTTAATAATATCCACCAGTCTCATCATATCCATCCACATCAAAGAATCTACCTTGTGGATCATAGTAGCTGCCATTTTTTATTATATAAAAACCATAGCTGTCATAATACCCATCTTCTTTGTATTATTATTGAGTGCTTCCTTCTAATAAATAGTATAATTATTAAAACGTTATCTTTTTTAACTTACTGTTATTTCCACCTTTGTTAAATCGACCACCTCCACCGGCATTGCCTTGACCTTAGCCGCGTTTGTTCATTATAATCAAAATATTATACAAAATAATAATTATCTATTAATACACAGATTCTAATTTATGGGGTTTTGGGGTTTTGGGGTTTTGGGG